TATTATGAATATTTTTTAAATTGATAAAATAAATAATACATTTTAATAAAAAAAAAATATAACGTAATTGATTTAATTTTTCAATTTAATCTTGAATTTTTCAGGAGTAAATAATAATTTTGAATATGATAAATTACAATAGTTTTATCACATTTCCTTTTAGTTCTTCATATTTCTTCCATTGAATAAGGATAATCTTAATATGTAGAGTTCAGTTATAAGATTCAACTGTTAATAAAAATACTCCTTATTTATTAATGTTGTAGATGTATCTCTTTGGATCATAATTCATGTACACTGATATAAATTACAGTATTAAGTTATTATTTATTTTTTACTTGATGTTGACACTGTTAAATTTAATACAAAAATACAGCATAAATTGATTGAAAATATATAATTAGGTTAAATGGTATCTAAAAAAATAAGAATAATATTTTTTTTATTTTTAAATCATGTTACATTTTTATGAAATTTTCATATGTCACAAAAAAACATAAGTATACAAATACCAGGAGAAACTACAGGTGCTTCTAACACCTTTAAATCAATTTAATATTTAACAGATTTTAAATGACAAATGCAGTTCAATTGCTTTCCAAAATATTTTGAATTACAGGAAGATATATAAAATGATTAATGAAAAATATTTAAATAATAATATGAAATATTTGTCTAAAGATATTATTATTAGCTAATTAGATATTTCATAATCATAAAGCATATCTGCTTAAATTTTAATGCAAATAGTTTCCAAAATATATATTCTTGAAGGTAAGTTAAAATTAAATGATTACATTAAAGTAAATTTATACAGGTGAAATCTTGTGTGTAACGAGATAAAAGCTTAAGATTAAATAATAAAAAATGTAATTATAAATTGATTTTACATTAGAAGGATATCTATCAGTAATGTTATCATAAAGTAAAAATAAAAGAATCATATTAAATTGTAAATTATACCTTTAGATTGCATTAATAATTATTAGATGAATGTTATTGACACTGATTGAAATTAAATAAGATTTAAATTTAAGCTAGCAATTTGAATTTGAATTATTAATATAATTTCCTTGAATTATGTCTTTTAAACTCGATTTATTCAAGTAGGATGAAAAAATAGAAAGATTGATTGTCTCCTTTTAATTTTTGCAGCAAAACTAATAAGATCACAAGTGGAAAGATTATGTCCTTAAATCTAAAGATAATAGGAACTTAGTGCTGGAATGGATAAAAATAAGAATCTAAATGGATGAAGGATGACAAGATGGGGTGATTGAAATTCAGAGAAACGAAGTCTTCAAAGAAATTTGAAATGTAGAGTCAATTTATATCATTAAATTAAAAATTTTTAATAGCCTTGATGATTTTAAAATTCTTATTTTAGTATTTTATGGGATTTTTATCAATGTTCTCTAATGAATAAAAGTTCAGTTGCTTCAGGGCTTAACATGGAATATTAAATGTTAATAAGCAAATAATTATCAAAATTCAATCATCTTTATAGTTTTTCAAACTGGAAGTATTCGATACATAATTTAATTGCACTGCCATTCTTCCAAACTATTGAAAAAAAAATTGATTTATTGATTTTAATATTCTGATGAGATAGATTTTTTATTACTTCTATCCTTTGTATCAAAATTGCCATAATAAACATTACAATAATTCTTTAAAATTAATAAAATACACTGAAAATAAGGCATTCATTGTCAATAAAAGTATTAATCCAGAACATTTGATTCTTATTGAAACAAAAATAATCCTTTTCTTTTTATTCTGGCAAATTAATTCTTTCTATATATTTATTTTAATCAGAAGTCGATTTGAGCTAAGCTGCTATAACATATGTTGTATAATTTTAATATCTTAAGTTAATTATGCCGTCTTTAATTCTAGATTTAAGAATACAATCGTTCATTTTAGAAAAGCCTGATTGTATTTTCTCTATATTTTCTTTTTTGACTATCTAATATTTTTCAATTAAAAGTTTTTTTTAGATAAAGACAATCTGGATCTTAGAATAAAAGTCGATTTGAGTATTCTTAAATTCCATATACAATGAACAAGTCAAATTGCATTAAATCTATAACATTGGGTTTCTAAATAGAATAAATTTCTTCTTTTTTTTAAGATACTCTGCTGTTATATGATTTCTTTAATTTCATACTAAATTTGCTAGTTTTGAGAAGGTTTATTGAAAGTATTCTTATATTAATTCTTAGAGCATCAAAATAAGCAATACACTCAAGTCATTCAATAAGGAATACAATTATAGTAAGTTTTAGATTTATTCTACTGTTCTAACTCTGAGTGACTTAAGGAGTTTTCCTAAAAACCGTATGATTCATCTACTCTATAATAGCATTTTTATGGATCTCAAATTTTTAATTGATAAAAAATGATTTTTTTATTAATATTAAGTTTTTTTATTTAATTGAAAGGTTTTTATGTTTATAATTTTATCAAAATCATTAAAAAATACTAGGTCTAAAGTATATGATAAAAATTAATCAAAAATTTAATTATGGTATTTGTTCATTATTAATTTTTAGATAAATAATAACAAACCCTCTTTTTCTTAAAATAACATTATCTGCATTATTTTTAATCCAAAACAATAACAATTTTAAATGCCTTNAAATTCAATCATCTTTATAGTTTTTCAAACTGGAAGTATTCGATACATAATTTAATTGCACTGCCATTCTTCCAAACTATTGAAAAAAAAATTGATTTATTGATTTTAATATTCTGATGAGATAGATTTTTTATTACTTCTATCCTTTGTATCAAAATTGCCATAATAAACATTACAATAATTCTTTAAAATTAATAAAATACACTGAAAATAAGGCATTCATTGTCAATAAAAGTATTAATCCAGAACATTTGATTCTTATTGAAACAAAAATAATCCTTTTCTTTTTATTCTGGCAAATTAATTCTTTCTATATATTTATTTTAATCAGAAGTCGATTTGAGCTAAGCTGCTATAACATATGTTGTATAATTTTAATATCTTAAGTTAATTATGCCGTCTTTAATTCTAGATTTAAGAATACAATCGTTCATTTTAGAAAAGCCTGATTGTATTTTCTCTATATTTTCTTTTTTGACTATCTAATATTTTTCAATTAAAAGTTTTTTTTAGATAAAGACAATCTGGATCTTAGAATAAAAGTCGATTTGAGTATTCTTAAATTCCATATACAATGAACAAGTCAAATTGCATTAAATCTATAACATTGGGTTTCTAAATAGAATAAATTTCTTCTTTTTTTTAAGATACTCTGCTGTTATATGATTTCTTTAATTTCATACTAAATTTGCTAGTTTTGAGAAGGTTTATTGAAAGTATTCTTATATTAATTCTTAGAGCATCAAAATAAGCAATACACTCAAGTCATTCAATAAGGAATACAATTATAGTAAGTTTTAGATTTATTCTACTGTTCTAACTCTGAGTGACTTAAGGAGTTTTCCTAAAAACCGTATGATTCATCTACTCTATAATAGCATTTTTATGGATCTCAAATTTTTAATTGATAAAAAATGATTTTTTTATTAATATTAAGTTTTTTTATTTAATTGAAAGGTTTTTATGTTTATAATTTTATCAAAATCATTAAAAAATACTAGGTCTAAAGTATATGATAAAAATTAATCAAAAATTTAATTATGGTATTTGTTCATTATTAATTTTTAGATAAATAATAACAAACCCTCTTTTTCTTAAAATAACATTATCTGCATTATTTTTAATCCAAAACAATAACAATTTTAAATGCCTTTATCTCTAATGTATTATTTTATTTAAGTTTATACATAACTATTTCAAAACATTTCATTTTATATGGTTAATTCAAAATCTTAATTTTAAATTTACTTTCTATAGAGAATATTAAATAGAATAATTTAATATACATAAATATCATTTTAAATTATTTGTTAATATAGCCATTATTAAATGGATAGCTCATCCTATTCTTCAAATATCTAAAAAAAGCTAACTAAATTCTTCCTTACTGATGCTTAGCTACAGAAACTTTTAAAAAAAATTTGAGAATCAGAATAACAAACCAAATGAAATCAATAGTGGCTATTAATAGCAATAACTTTTCTAATAACAGTGAAATTATCCTAAATATAAGGGTTTGTAATTTAATTACATATACAAAGCATTTTGAAAAAATACTAGTTAATAAATCAATTCTAAATTTTTATATGCTCTCAGAAGATAATAACATACACTATTGATAAATCCTTTACAGATCATATAAAAAAAGTCTTATCACAATTAAGGAATTCGAATAAAAAACTAGAAAATCAATAGGTTTTAAAAGAGTACATCTTTTATGATAATTTTAATTTGACATTTAAAGATAGCATAAAATGAAAACATAGATGTTCTTGGTGTATCCTTGAGGAATGAAGTGTCAAAATTAACATAATATAAAATCTATTAGATAGCCTAAAATTGTTATTACGATTGTTTGCTTAAGTACTATCAAAATTAAATCATACAAAAAAATGAAATTAATAAAATGTATTAAATGAATATTTATTTAGATTATATTTTACATCAGATTAATAATTTATGAACAATTGGAATCTTGATAATGAACTTTATCTTTTTGAATTATACAATAATGAAATTTTGATGATGTCTGACCTAGAGAAATTAAGCTAAATCAAGCAATAATTACATTTAGTTTAGTAGATTTGTTCAAGATCTATTGAAAACGAGATCAATAATTCTATATTAAAATAAAAAATTATATTTTGTAAATATAATAAATTTAATTCATTATTCTTTATAATCTTTTTTTAAAGTATTAATTACTTGAATTTAATCATAAGAATGGTATTGTAATACTAATAACACAAAAGCTAGCGTTTAAATCTTTCCTCAATAATGGAGCTTTAAGCTATGAATAATTACATCAATTAATGATATATTTTGAAATAACTTTTAATTTAAAACTGAGTTGAATTTAAATAATTTAACCTCAATTAACTAAAAGATCCTTCTTTAGCATCTTTAAATATAAGAATTCTTACTTAATTTTACTTATCAATCTATTTTTTATGAGAATTACTCTATTACAAGATAATTAAAATACTTTTTTATTAATATTAAATTAGTTAGATGAAAAATAATTTTTCCAAATTCTTAAATCTATCAAAGACTATAAATTAACATTGAATTAATGATCCATTATCTATTATTAGTCAACATTCATACTAGATTTTTTAATTTTTTTAATGAATATATAAATTATAATATTGTATATTATATAAAAAGATGCTTGTTTAAGTATTCTAACAAAAGAAATAAGTTTTACATAGAAAATTGATAATTTTATGAATTACTTTAAAATAAATACTATATTCATTATTAAATTTAAATAAAAGAGCAACAATATGCTAATGGTTAGATAATAAATGTTAAGATTTTAAACGATATGTTGCTAGAATTTATTTACAAGGTTTATTTATTAATATCAATTATTTGGACTTGTAAAACTAATTCAATAGATTCCTGTCTATTTTATTTAATGCAAGGTAAATAACAATATAAATTCATAAATTAATAATTGGTCTAAAGTTGAACATATCTCCAGAGCTTCAATCTTCTATTTTAAATAATTTTGTTTGTAATAAGTAATTTAAAAAAATAAATATGAATAATTATTGGAAAAAACATAACAAATTTTAAGATTTATTTTGTTCAGATTATATTAATATTTGGAGATGTTTTAAATAAGATTAAAGATATTTAATATTTTATATAAATAAAGATTATAGTGTAAATAGTGTTTATGAATAGAATTCTTGTATTAATAAATTCATTGTATACTTATCATTATAGCATTATTTAACTAACATTTTTTCAAATATAAATTTTAATTTATGTAATAAATTATTAAATAGAGATTTTAGATGTAGAATTAAGTAATTTATAATGCAGTTATAAAATTTATAATTTATCTAATATTATTTTTTATTAAATTGTCTTTATTACCTATTTTTTTCATATATATTGTATAAGTTAATATCTTAATTGCTAAAACTTCTATCAAAAAAAAGTCAGTTGTACATTATTTTTATGTTATATGATCTGTGAAACTAATAGCTAGATAATTTTCTCAAAACAGCATTATGGATATAACAATGCTGTAATTATTTTTAATAAAGTATTTATATGACTAAACAACAATAATTAGAATTCTTTAAATTCTCAATTATAATTTATTCAAATAAATATTTGCTATTGGATGGATTAACAAAATCAAAGTTAAAGAGTTGTAATCTGTAGCGAATTACCAGAAAATCCTATAGCCACTAAAATGACATAAAAAGAAGATAAAACTTGTGGAGGAAGATTTAGATGGAATTTGATAATTAATGGTATCATTATTATTATGGCTGCCTTTCCTTTCTATCTACCCTTAGAAGCAACTTTGGGAATTAATTGCTTTTATGCTTCATTATGGATGATATTTACTATCTTGGCTGCTCTAACATAATCAAAAATTCATTAAACAATGAAAAAAATATAAAATAACATGGAATAACCTTCACTTCCAAATAGTTCACAAATTAAATTTATTTTAATAACTTTCATATACAAAGAACCTTTAGAATTACTTTTGAAAACCCTTCAAAATGTTTCACAACAAAGAATTGCCAAAGAGATAATAATGTTAGTATGTATGGAAGAAAAAACACCAGATAAAGAAACAAAAATTAAGTCAGTTTATGAATAATTCAAAGACTGTTTTGGTTAATTAATTATAACTGTTCATCCTTATGGAACACCTGGAGAAATACCAGGTAAATGTTCTAATAATAATTATGGTATTAGATCTGTCTTAGCTCATCTAAAAAAAAGTGATCCTAATCTTGATCCAAATAAGTATTTTGTAACTAATTTTGATGTTGATACAATCTTTCATAAAAACTTTCTTGATATCTAAATGATGAATATTTTATAAGAGAAAGACAGAAATAATTTTGTTTGGTAACCAATTTTATTTTATAATTGGGGACTTGATAAACTTAGTGTTTTTACAAGAATAACAGGATTAGCTAGAAATATGTTAATGATGGGAGCACTTATACCTTTTAACATAAATATTATGAGTGTATATACTGCATCATTATAATTATATATTGAAGGAGATTTTTGTCATCCAACTTATTAAATGGAAGACATAATCTGTTATATAAGATGGCTTACCTTAAGTAAAAGATCTCTTAAAATCAAACCAATTTATTGCCCTACTATATCAGGTCCTACATCTGGTTCAACTATATGGTAAGAATTTATTGAATGGGTAAGATAGAATAAGAGATGGAGTGTAGGATCAGCTGAAGTTTTCCATTATTTTATTATTAAAGCTTCAAGAATTAATTTTTGCTCAGCTTTTCTATGGGCTTGTAATTATCTTAATTATTATGCATCATTTATTTGTGTTTAAAGTTTATTATTAATAACAACAACTATTAGACTCTTTGCTATGGAAACTGATCCTATCCTATAATAGTATTTTATTATACCTCTAATTGCAGTGTATATTTGCCTTTTCTTTATGATTTTTATGAACAAAATTGCAGTAAAATATCTTTTAAAAGATATTGTTATAGAAAAAATACCTATTTGGAAAGATTTCTTTCATTGGATATTAAGTCTAATAGTCATGGTTGGATATGGATTAACAGTGTTTTATGGATTCTGGGAAATATTCTTTTGTGGAAAAGGTGTCTGCACTCATGAGCCATCAAAGAAAAAAGTACTTGATAATATAGTCTAACGTAAAGATGAAACAACAGTTCCCATATAAGAATTATAAACTGAAAAATGAATATTAAAACTATTTTCAGTTTTATTAGAAAATTTATTATTGTTTCTTATTTTAATTTTTTAATTGTTTTTAATTAATTTATTGCCTCAAGTGATTTATTAATTTCCCTTCAAAGTTTGCTAAAAAACATCATATTTAATAGTTATTTATCGATAATTAAATTCAACTAAGTGGAATTGCTTGATTAAAATGATCAATGTACTAGACACGTGGTTTTTAAAACTTGTTATATTTATTAAGGATTTAAAGAATTTAAATACTCTCTTCTTACAATTTGAAGTGTTAAATATTATTACCTTTTAAATTCCTGTTTCTAATATTTCAAAAACATAACATACTAAGATCATTATCAATTACATTTTTTAAACATTGTTATTGTTCCATATTTGTTTGATCAATATCACTTTTAAATCAAGGTTTTCATTCTCTTACATAATATCCTCCTATTATTTTAATTTCTCTTCATTTCTACATTTTAATCAAAAAATTAACTTTCATAATTATTTTCCATATTCCCTCTCCTATTGAAGGTTTTGGATATATCCTAAATGAATTTAAAATAAATCAAAATTATATATAATGTTTGATTTATCAAGTATAGTGTAGATAACCTCATTTTCTTTAGTAATTGTTACACTGAATTTGATTTCATCATAACTAAAAACATAATATTAAAAATAATCAAATATGCAATACATTTATTTCAAATTGCTTTTTTAATAATTCTTTTTTAGCTTTATCCTACTTAATAATTCTTAAATTCATGTATTAATTTAAAAATAAAAAAACGAATTTAATTGCTTTCCTATACAAATTATATATTTTACTTAATTATAACAATATTTGATAATTTAGTATAATATGAATTCTTTTTGATATATTTCTGATATAAAATATTTACATCTGAACTTTTAAATGAACCCATATTTCTATTAAGTATATAATATCTCCTTAGTTTCAAAATTATGAAATAACTCAGCTAAATGATGAATTAATGATTTAATCGTTTTTTTGATGTTATACCTATGAGTATATTTAGAATTTTTTTTGTATTTAAGTATTTCTTAATGACAAGTTATCCTTCAACAAAATAAAAATTCTGATAAGATAGTAAAACTTATATTATAATAAATAAGAATCATAAAAATACCTATTATAATTAAACACCAAAAATTGAAATAAATTTTATAATTATACTATTATTATAATTCATTAAAACAAAATTTCTCATCTTTCGCTTTATCCAATATCCACATGTACTAATTTTTATACCATTTCTATATTCACCATTATAATAGACTTACAAATATTTTCCAAATATATCACTCAGTTCTATCCATTTACCATTCCTCCAACTGTTTTTCGTTGTAATCTCCACTACCACTATAAAATAATGCTTATTTTAATAACATTTTATTATCTTAATGAATATCATTCCAATTTGCTGTATATTTTCCAACTTTTAAATTGTTTCGACTCTATTATCCTATCCATTAAAGATTTTAAGGTGTTCTAAATTAGTTAACACTTCTGATATTTTTAAAGTGTTTTCCATTTAATCACTATTATATTAATTAAGATATATATTTCATTCATTTATCTTTAGTGTAGATGATTTAAAATTTGTTTATACATAGACAATCCTAACACATATAATACTTTAAAGCTATCTAATTTTTTTCTTCCACTCGTTCAAATTGTCTTCTTTAATCTAATTTTTAAATGATGAGTAATAATTATACTCCTATATAAACTATCTTAGATTTGATTTATTTTTATAGAGAGGATTAATCTATTAGACTCCTAACACTCTTAACCATTATTTCAACATTCTTCATGGAAATCATTTCGTATTATTATTGATATAATGCAATTGCTCTATCATTTCCTTCTTCCAATCTAAATTTTCTAATTCTCTTTCTAATCTCTACAGGAGATTTAATAATGAAACTATTTTAACTGAGTAATAGACTCAATTATTCTTCAGGTAATTTTTCACAATCCTGATATTTTTCATAATTTTCAATCAAATCTTATCCTCTTTTTAAGTCCAGATAACTTTCTTTTTAGGTCCTTCATATTAATATTTATCTTAATTAGTGTCTCCTTCTGCTACTTAATCTTAGTAATTTTTTAGAATAGAATCTTTAGTTGCAGCATGAGGAAATCTGAAAAGAATTCTACACTCATTAATCTATTAATTTTGAATAGTTAAAAAAGCTGATTCCTTTTCTTCTAAATAATTAGATTAAGTTTAAGAATTCACTTTTATACTAATTAATATGAAATATAATTACTGTTAGTTATTTATTTTAAATGATTGAATTGATTATATATAGAAAATCTAATTAAAAAAAGATCCAATCTGCTTTTAGAGTATCAAGAATTCTTTGAAAATATTTATAAATTGCAATATTAAGTTCTGATGAATTGTTTAATAATTTGCTAATAATAATAATTATTAATATACTCTTCTTTGATTAAAAAGAAATATTTTTCCAATACTTTATAATCAACTATGATTGCAAATTCTGAAACAAAATTACATCTTTTTTTCTTTATAAATAGATTAATCATTTTCAGTTTCATTTTCATCATCTACTTCTTCTTCATTTTCCTCATCATCTTCTTCCTCTTCTCTGATGCATTTTCTTCATCAGGAACTTTTTCAATAATATCATTATCTTCTTCATTATGTTAATCTTGTTTTCTTTTTCTTCCTCTATTTGCTTTATTTTATTATTTTTTGATTTTCTTTTTTAATAATTTATTTGTTCTTATTGACCATGCTTTTCCTTCGGTATGTAATTCTAATAGATCATAATATAAAGCTGTTAATTTAGCTAAGGTAGATAACATTTAATCATTAAATAATCCAAATTGACAATATCAATATCCAATTGATATAGCCTTTGCTATTTCTTAAGTTGCAATAGTTTATAATAGTATTTAACTATTTATTCTATCTGTTTATTCAAGTGCAAGTGATAATTCTCTTACAATCATAAGAAATACAAATAGAACATTTATAACAGAAAAGAAAATTCTATAATTGGAATTCATATTTCTAAGTTAAGTACTTTCATTAATCAAATTACTATATTTAAAATTAAATTAAGTAATTTAAAGTGCTGCTTAAATAGAAACAAATTCTGATGATTATTATCCTTCTTTATTTTATTTACAATGAAATCGAATAAGTTTTAAGAAATGTGATATCAAAACAAAATAATGGACTTTATCATCAGAATCTACAATCTCTTATTCATTTCAATAAAAGCTTAATCAATTAATTTTCTAAAACAATGAGTCAAGAAATCTATAGTTGAATGTTTCAATTCTTCTTTAAAGTTTTTCTCCTTCTCTGCAGCATTAAGATCAATAGTTAGAGGTTTTACAAAAATTGTTTTTATTTTCATCTAAGTGCTCTAATTTAAGGTTTTTATCATTAATTTGCTAATTTATTTACTAAATTTTAATGGAATGGTTAACTACTTATCTATCCAGATTGAGAGAGAATTCCTTTAGTAACAAATAATCCTGGAAATCTTAAATGTCTGTTAGGAATAGTACTTAAATGTTATTATTTCTATAATCTATATTATTAGGCTTATTTAAAATAAGTTCTTTTCTTATTGTGAATTTCTTAATAACCATTCAGAATCAAATGGTTTTAAGGCATAATAGAATATCTCCATTAGATGAAGTGCTATCCTTTGCAAAAATGATTATTTAAAATCTTAAGATATGTATATAAATGCAGAAAGAACAGATTCCTTTATTATACAATAAATAAATTTCTTTGTAGATTTCTTTTAACTTCTTTACCACTTTCAAGTCCAATTTTAGTTTCTTCAATATCAGGAATAGAAAGGAGATCAATTTTTTTTCATAAAAAACCATTTTTTTTTAAATCTAACAATCAAAGATGTCATTATAGAAGAATTAAAATAGTTATATCAATTTTGATAACATTATTCATTATACATTTCTAGAAAACCCCAATCAGGTAGATATTTAATTTTATAATTTGATCTAAATAAAAAACCAAATTTTTCAATTACATACTTAATGATTTAAGGGAGGATCCTATTTAAATTAGATATTTTACAATATCAATAGTACATTCTACTTCACAAACTTCTTATGTTCTAAGATATTTTATTTAGATGGAATTAACGCACCTAAATATTTAAAATGTGCTAGTTTTCAATAGCAAATGATTGTCATTTTTCCTTATGCTTAATATAATCATATTTTTATATTAATCAATTATCATATATTATTTCTTTTTAGGTTATAACCCTATCGGTCTTTGTTTTTTCGACCCATGGACCATATTTTTTGCCATTAAGATATTCCCCAATCAATATAATTTTTTCTCTATCAGTAAACTTACTACTTAATTCAATCCATTTTCCAATCTTAATTTCATCACCATTATCATCATATGATCCACCACCACTAAAATTGTTTTTATTATTTACATCTAAAATTTTCCAAACAAAAGATCCCATCTACCAACTTTTTTACTATTATGATAATCACCAATATAAATAATTTCTTAATGCCTTTTAAACTTATCACTTAATTCAATCCATCTCCCAACTTTAATTCCATTTCCTTTTTCGCAATATGATCCACCACCGCTTAAAATTTTTAGTAATTTTTAATAATTACATCTCAGTAAATACATCACTCTGATTTCTATATAAAATATCCCATTTGCCAATTTTTACATTATTTTAATATTAACCCTAATACATTATCTATTTATCGATCCTAAAGTCCTAATTCAAATCAATCCATTTCCCTATTTTCTAACCTTTATAATCATCATATATTCCGCCACCACTACAAAATTTTTATCTAAAATTTTATATTTACATCACTGTATTATTATATAAAGTATCCCATTTACCAATTTTTTGACCATCCTTATATTCCCCATTATAGGTAACTTAAGAATTCATAAAATAATCGCCTAACTCAACCCATTTCCCAATCTTAATTTCATTACCTTCATTATGATAAGATCCACCACCACTAAAAAATTTCATTATATTACAGATTTACATCATCACATTTTAATATAAAGTATCCCATCTCCTAACTTTTTTACCATTTTGATATTCACCTTAGTAAGTTATTTCTTTTCCTGGTGAAGAGTTTACACTTATTTCAATCCATTTCCCAATTTTAATTCCCTCACCAAATTCATCATATGATCCGCCACCACTAAAAATTTTATCAGATAGTTACATTTATTAAATTTTTCTACTAGCATAATTAATATCCCATCTATTTATTTTTTTACCACTTTTGTATTCACCATTATAAGTTATTAATGAACTAGATCTATATCCATCACTCAACTCAATCCACTACCCAATCTTATCCCCATTATCATCATATGTTCCACCACAACTACAATATTAAAAAATATTATTTAATAAAAAAATATTACACAGTTTCTCCAATCATTTCGAAATTCCATCTACCAACTCTTTTGCAATCTTAATATTAACCAGACATAATGACTGATGAATGGTTATAAAACCCATCAAATAATTCAATCCAACTCCCTATTTTATTCCCTTAACCTTATTCATCATAGGATCCACAATCACTAACAAATTTAAATAGACAATATCATTTTACATTGAATATAAACTATCCTCAATAAACCACCCACCGATCTTTTTACCGTTTTTATATTTACCATAATAAATGGCATCCGAATTCGAATAAAATGCATCACTAATTTCAATCCAAGTCCCATTTTTAAGTTCATTGCCGAATTCATCATATGATCCACCACCACTAAACAATATATTTAAATATATCATTTTTACATATATTTATTTTGATAAAAAATATCCCATTTACCTAATTTTTTCCCATTTTTATATTCACCTCTATAAGTGACTTAGCAATTATCTTAAAATTAATCGCATAATTCAATCCATTTACCATTCTTTAATCCTATTTAATTGTAAGATCCTCCACCACTAAATAATTAAAATAATATAACATTTTATTTTTTTGATAGAAATAATTCCATCTACCTATTTTTTAATTTTAAAAATACTCTCCACTTTCATATACTTAACCTTAACTACAATTATAGAATTAATTTTTACTCCCCATAACTTTTAAATATTTGCTTCCATAACCCTTCCTTTAATCCATTCTCAAAGTATCCAGCAACTTCGATAAGAGCTTCCCCATTCCATAAAGCCATCCACTTCCCCTACTTTCTCATATTCTTTCCATATTCACCTTACCATTGTAGATATTTGATCTATTCCATATTTGTCAAAATTTCTGGATTTTAGGAGATATCCACAATTAATTCGCTTTCAATCTTGAAATAATATTACTTTCTCAACACAATTCCATCATAATAGTACTTCAAACAATGATCTTGAGTTATTGCTATTTTGATTATAGTCTTAACAAGTTTCATCCTTATTTCATTCAACTTGTCAACTTCCAAATCTTAGACACCTTATCGCCACTAAAAGAAATCTAAGTAAATCAGATTATTTTGAGTTTCGTTAATCATTTAACAAAAAATTAATTTTTTTTCTAACTTTATTCAAATATATAAACTATAAGCATACTTTTATATATAATTATATTGAGATGCCTTTAATAATCAAATACTTTGATTACGACTTTTCAACAATAAAAATTAAGATTTTCATTAATAATTTTCTTAAATCATATCAGGCAACCTTGAAATAAATATTATATAATATATTGTATTATATTCTTTATCTTGCAATTTAATTTTTTTAATCTTTAAATTTATATCTTGCAATAATTCGACTTAAGAGAAGGTTTTTTCTATATATACTTTTTTTCTCTTGATGTCTGAAATATGATTAATTAAATATTAGGTAATTAAAAGAATAGTATTTAAATACCAACCAGCAAATCGTTTTTTTTTGGTAAGTAATTTACGACACTCAATAGATTATCATCATTATTGTTGATTAATTAATAGATATATCTTATCAAGTTATTAAAATAAACTGAATGTTGTGAAAAGATGGAATTCACTTTTTGAAATAGAATGAGTGTCTTGACTGGAGTGAAACCTTGACTACTGCCATGCTGGGAAATTCTGATAAACATGGCGAGAAGGGAGAAGGGGGTATTATGTCTTACTTTCTTCATTCTCAAAAAATGATGTTAGCTTTGGGTTAGCCTGTACGTGAAATTTCTGGAAGTTTCTTCAGGTTGTTATAGTAAAAGGAGTTTAGTACTTATAAGGAGCCATATTACTAGATTTCGCCTTTATATTCCAGTACCATAAATCGAAAAAGCCGAGCGGTTTTTCTAGAAATCCCCTTAACTCTTAATTATGCTGTAAGAATGAATATTACATTTTTAATTATAATTCTAGTGATCTAACAAAGTAATATTAAAAGTTAATTGTTAATTACTACAATTTCTTAATCTATAATCATAATGAAATTTTTTTTCAACTAATTTCAAAAGCAGAAGATTATATATCTTTTTTTTAAGTAATACAGAAAGTAACTTGAGGAAGCTCAAATATGTGTCTATAAGGGAGAGCTGTATAATTATTTAAGATTTTAATGTTTTAATATTACACACAATTAAAGATGAATTAAATGTAAATCTACCATGACCTGTCTTAGGGAAGAAAAAATTATTAAATAGGCGTTCCATTTATTGCGAAATCATGAAAAAAAATATAGTATAGTATAATTAATTTTAATAAATTAAATGATCCAAAAAGCATTTATAATATTCTAAACTTGCAAAATTGTTTGCCTGACATTTACTACTACAAAGTTAATTAAACAGTTTTTTGAAAATTCTCTTATTACTCAAAATAGTAAATATATGTTTAGATTTCTATATGAACTCTTAAAATATATTTTTAATCGTAAATAAATAAATAAAATAATATTATGATTTATTAAAAAATGTATAGAATAATATATTTGATAAAAGGTATAATATGTTACAACAAATTCATATAATAAAAAATGATAGTAAAGAAATTTATAATGTTTAACTTAGTTAATGTGAAATTGTCAAATAATGTAAATATGTTTTAATAGGTACAATATATAGGAAAAAATAGTTTATTTATGTTTCCTATTTAGCTAATTAATATTATTGGTCTTTGTAAAAAGAAAGACATTCTATTGTGATGTTAAAATAATATTTTTCTCAAATTTGCAGGTACAATAAATTGTTTAAGATAACTAAGATATATATATTTTATTAATAATATTTTATAAATATTCATTTCTTAAATCTTAATTCCATAATTAATTTATTAAATTCATTTTGGTCTTGTTTGCAATAAACAAGTGCTTGCTTGTAATTTTCGATAGCTTATTAATACTTCTTCAAATCAGTTAGTAAAGCACCTATAAAGTAAACAAATAATTAACCCTTATTTTTATAAGTCACTGCATCATTAGGATCCAGTTGGATTGCCTTGTCATAACAAACTATTGCATCATTATATTTTTTAAGACTATTTAATGAACTACCTATTACAATCATAACCTAATAAATTACCCTTTTCGTTATATCCAACAATATATTCTGAATCATAATTTAAAGCTATTTCAATACATTAAATCGCTTATGAATTTTCCTTCAAATTTTATAAAGTAAAACCTATTAATAAATAAATGTTTACTTTTTCTATACAATTCATGAAGATGTTTAGGTTCTTCTATTAAAACCTTTTCGCATTACTCAATTGCTAATTGATATTTCTTTTCATCATCTAATGCATAGCCTATAAAAATAATTGAAAACATTAACTTTTTGCTATTAAAATAAATGTATTTTTTGGATTTTTCTTAAGTTCAAAATCTGAATAATCCAATAAATCTTTTTATAAGTTATTATTAATCTTCTTGGTTTACTCTCTCATTATAATTCCTTTTCCATATTGATTCATTTCAATTAAAGAAATACCTTATTAATTATATATATAATTTTTTAATTACCTTAAAAAAATTTTGCAAATGATGATTGTTTCTCTCATAATTTTAAATATTAATTTATTTTTTCATTAGCTTCCTACCATTTTTTTTAATTTAGTAATTCTATTCCTAATATGATTTTGAATAAATTAAATACCTTATTCAAGTGTTATTTGATTATCTTGATATATACTTTTAATTTATTATTATTATTATTATTATTATTATTATTATTATTATTATTATTATTATTATTATTATTATTATTATTATTATTATTATTTATTGTCTAAATCCAAAGTTTGGATCATTCTTTTTATACTAAGTAATTAAGTTCCTATAAATATTATTAATCGAAAAATACCAATTTAATTCTACTTCATGATCTCTTCTTGATTGTTTGAATATTAATATCCTTTATCATTTACAAATTATCTTTGATTTATCTATAATCTTATTAATTAAAATTTTCAGATATCTTAATTAATTATTTTCTCATATTATCCAATTATTTTATGAATTCTTCATATTTTGTTTTGATTGATGAATAGGATTAATTAATTAGATAGTCAAATCAAGTATATACTAATTGAATTTAGTGATAAAACTCTAAATTTAACCAAATCCTTTTAGATCTTTCTTACAATTAGTATGTTTTTTAGGATCAAACCCACATTAAAGACAGAACTAAGATCTTGAATCTTAGCATTCCAAATTTAAACAAAACCCTTAAATAACTTCTCCTTCATGTGCAATATCTTAACACGTAAGCAAATTCTATTATTTCATAAAAATAAATTTTATTTTATAATTATGATTTATATTTGATTAAATACATTTTTATTTCATAGAATTAATAAGAATTATCTTAAATATTTAATAACAGCTAATTATATTAAATTGACTTATAATTCATTAATATACATCCTGCAATAATTAAATATTATACAAGGTTTTGCTATTTACAAACTCATTTTATTCGAAATTATAATTTAAAATTTATGGAAGTAATTTTCTCAAAAATGATCAATTTGAATTTTAGCAAGACTACAAACTAAATATGTCTAAATCTGAACTTGGATGATTAAGCTAATGAAACATAATAAGAATCAACGTATATAATTTAAAAAGATTCTAAATCTTTAAGTATAGAAGTGACTGTTACTACCTTTCTATTTTAAAGCTAAATTAAGACATTCCTGGGTTTGATTTTTAAAAAACACACGATCATTTAGATTCTTTTCAACTTAACCATTATCATAAGAATAAAAATACTAAACTGGTAACTCATACCAAGTATAGTGTATTAAGCGATTTTTTTTTCATAAACTCCAAAAAGTGATCAAATATCACACGATTTATTTATTGAAGGTTTTTGGATAAAATAAACTAATCTTATTCAATAAGATATGAATATTGATTTAAAGTATGAATTTGCTCTTCTTTTCAAAAACTTTTGTCTCATTTTAATTTTATCTTTGATTATTATTTATTATTATTCTAAATCATTACTCCAATTAATCTCCTTATTCATCTTTTGTAAAAGCTTTAATCCAAGCTGTAGAAATAGAAATAATTGATAAAATATAAAAATAAATCTTTAAGTCAAGAATAAAGAAATAAGATAAATTATAAACAAGTCAATATGAATGAAAAATCAATATCCAATAAAATCATAATAACCATAAATTCTTAATCTATTTGTCTATTTCAATTTATAGAAATTTATTTAATTATTAGAAATTTCAAATTGAATCTAAGTTTTTTTTTTAAATCATCTTATTCTTATTTATCAAAATTATTAGACCTACATTTATTTTTTTAATATTAATAATTATAGAAATTATAAATCATCAAAGAAATCAATTTTAGAAACAAATTCACAAAAAAAATATAAGATTGATCAATTTATTTTGTGAATCCAAAATTCTACTCTAATAATGGAAATAACTTTTTTAAGCTTTTTGTTAATACATTCTAATTTAGAATCTTTCTAATTTGCAAGAAAGTTTTTAGTATTTCTTCTAATATATTTTAGTATTACAAATATTATTTATTTTTCTAATAAGATGCAGAAATCAAGAAGTTTGAACTTCAATATCAGTTTTCTTTGATGCTCTGTTGTTTGATAATAGATGGTTCGAAACAAACCTTCTACAAACATTTATTATTATTCAACTAAGTTCAACCAGTCCACATCCATTAAAGTGTTATGAAGTTCATCAAATCTCATAAACTTATTTGGTAAGTACCATACTGCAGAGTGTATTATACTTTTTATATTATTAATTATTCTTAGATATCACTCAGTCTATAAAGTTTTTAATTTCATTCTATCATGGAGCTGCATTTGATTATACGAGTGAACTCCTCCTAAACGTTTCAACTTCCTTTATACTTTAATTCAATTTTTTCAATATTGCTATTTTAAAATTATTAGAATCCTTTTTCATTCCTTTCTCGGGCATCAATCATTTTTTAATCATCCGGTATAATAATTATTTTTTCAATATTTCCACCCCTATATAACTGTTTCTACATTCATCTTTCAAGGATATGTCTGTTAGCCTATCCTTTTGAAATTATTTTTCCACGTAAGAGAAGATCTTGTAATACCTCTATTGATATAGCCTCTTCTTTAGGAGTAATTTGGATATCTTACCATAACTCCTAATTGTGAAGGTATCTCAAAAATCTCAATTATATCTTACTTCAGATTAGGTTGGTGCTGTCTCTACCCTAAAGATTTCTTAAATATTAAACCACTTTTTTCTAAATACATAAAAAAAATTATAATTAATAATCATAAATATATATTTATAAACTGTTTCATTCAATTTTTCTGGATTGACAAAATGTTTGATTATATATTTAGTTGTGAGTAAATTACTATCTAATTTAGTTATCTGTTATTCTATTTTAAAGTCCCATAAACGATAGACTAATAGATTTTAATTTAGTACTACTATCACAAGACAATAAAAATCTAAATTAAATAGACACAATAGTTATGTTTATTCAGTATACTACTCTATTCTAAGTATCCCATTATTGAGAAGCATACTGAATAAATTCAGCTATTATGACTATTTAATTGAGATTTTTATTATTAGGATAGATGTATTTACATCACAATAAATAAGTGAAAAACACCATGACCATCCAATTTATTCAATTCTTTGATTTTAAGGTTCATCCATTTTCAACTGAACACCTAAGGATCATTCAGATTTATTCCACTTATATGACATTATTAAATTAGGATTCACTAAAATTACACCTAACAAAATTAGTTCCTACTAAAAAAATATNTTCTTCTAATCTATTTTAGTAGCCTTATTTCAAACATAATTACAAATATTATTTATTTTCTAATTAGATGCAGAAATCAAGCATTTTGAACTTCAATATCAATTTTCTTTGATGCTCTGTTGATGATAGATGGTTTGAAACAAACCTTCTACAAACATTTATTATTATTCAACTAAGTTCAACCAGTCCACATCTATTAAAGTGTTATGAAGTTCATCATATCTCATAAACTTATTTGGTAAGTACTATACTACAGAGTGTATTATACTTTTTATATTATTAAATATTCTTAGATATCACTCAATCTATAAAGTTTTTAATTTCATTCTATCATGGAGCTGCATTTGATTATACGAGTGAACTCCTCCTAAACGTTTCAACTTCCTTTATACTTTAATTCAATTTTTTCAATATTGCTATTTTAAAATTATTAGAATCCTTTTTCATTCCTTTCTCGGGCATCAATCATTTTTTAATCATCCGGTATAATAATTATTTTTTCAATATTTCCACCCCTATATAACTGTTTCTACATTCATCTTTCAAGGATATGTCTGTTAGCCTATCCTTTTGAAATTATTTTTCCACGTAAGAGAAGATCTTGTAATACCTCTATTGATATAGCCTCTTCTTTAGGAGTAATTTGGATATCTTACCATAACTCCTAATTGTGAAGGTATCTCAAAAATCTCAATTATATCTTACTTCAGATTAGGTTGGTGCTGTCTCTACCCTAAAGATTTCTTAAATATTAAACCACTTTTTTCTAAATACATAAAAAAAATTATAATTAATAATCATAAATATATATTTATAAACTGTTTCATTCAATTTTTCTGGATTGACAAAATGTTTGAAAATAAATATTTAGTTGTGAGTAAATTACTATCTAATTTAGTTATCTGAAATTCTATTTTAAAGTCCCATAAACGATAGAATAATAGATTTTAATTTAGTACTACTATCACAAGACAATAAAAATCTAAATTAAATGGACACAATAGTTATGTTTATTCAGTATACTACTCTATTCTAAGTATCCTATTATTGAGAAGCATACTGAATATATTCAGCTATTATGACTATTAAATTGAGATTTTTATTATTAGGATAGATGTATTAACATCACAATAAATAAGTGAAAAGCACAATGACCATCCAATTTATTCAATTCTTGGATTTTAAGGTTCATCCATTTACAACTGAACATCTAAGCATCATTCAGATTTATTCCACTTATATTGACATTATTAAATTAGGATTAACTAAAATACACCTAAAAAAATTAGTTCCTACTAAAAAAGTATTTTAGATCTTAATTTTTTCAAAGTTTTTGTTTCTAAGGTCCACTTTCATCAAAACTAATAAAAGTAATGAATTAGACCCATATTGAATTGAAGTGTCATCAATATATGTGAAGTAAACTTTAAATTACAAAATTCAATGATATATTTGACCTCCTTTATGGTGTTTATTAGATCTTTTTGTTCTCGATAGACATCCTATACTTTCTTAAGCTTTCTTCTTTTAAAAGCTTCAATTAAAACATCATCATCTACATCCCTTAACTTTAGCAAATTCTCAATTAGATCTACTTATTGATCTAATCAATTTCTTTTGTTATTTTTAATATTGAAATCTCTTACTCTCACTTTAAATTTTTTACTACAAATAAATTTACGCATCTTCTGTAATTTTTTGGAAAGTAGAAGTATAAACTATTGTTAGATTTGGAGTTAAATGGAATTGATGTAAAAAATGTTATAGGTGATTTAATTCTCCATGTCCATCACTTGATTCTTTAAGAATATAGAATAACTAATTTTAAAATGAATCATGTTAATTATAATAATTTAATTTGAATTCTACTATTTTTGTTTTATCATTAATATAGGCATTTGGATTTGTGAATTTTTATCTCAAAATTAAGAGATAGGAATTTGTCTGAAGAACAGCTTAACATGACTAGATATTTTTAATAATGCATATTGAATATGCAGTTGTGAGGAAACTATGATATTTTATAGTTATAAATCGAGATATTTTCAAGAATGCACTTAAATATTAATTCATGTAATAACTTTAGAAAGCAAATGATCGTGTTAAAAAATTTTAATTTTTAACAATATTCTTTCTAAATATTTTTATTTTCTTTTTGATTATAAGGCTTGAGTAATGAAATCAAAAAGAAAAGAGAATGTACCAAAAGAGAATGTACCAAAAAAGTAGATCCTATCTAATTAGAATAATTTAATATTAATTGTATGTTAAAGTAAAAAGATCATCAGAAACCTACTCTCCATTCTTTCCTTCTCTTTTGAAGTTGTTTGTA